TCCGGAAATACGCGATTCCCATGTCGCGCTCGTTCCCGACGCGACGCAAAACTCCCCCTCCCCCTCCCCATATGCGCTCTCTTTTTCCGTCTCTCTCTTTCTCTCTTTCTCGGTGACCGACCCGTTCTTCAATTATGTCTTTCCGCACGGGCACCACATTTCGAATGCGCATACATAAAATCAAGAATTGAATCTGCATATTTCTAAAACCTAAATGGCACGTCTAAAGCAAAGCGATTGTTCTAAAGAAATTTGATTGTGAAAAAAAAAAAACGTACCGCTTTAAATCTGTAAACTCACTATGTGTTTGTGCGCTACTTATTACTTTTACAATAGTTGAACTTATTAATTAATTTTGTATTTAGTTCGGTAATTGTTTTCAATAAACTTTGATATTATTTTGTTTCTCTTCTCCTCACAAAGTGCTTTATTTATTGTTTCTACGTTTTTATTTTACTTGCCAATATTGAAAAATCGTATTCAGATGCAAGAATATCTCTTCGTGCAAGCGAAGGGTCAGCGGAAAGTAGAAAAAGCAATTTCGTTTCTCTCTTGCGGCTTTCTTTTTTCACGCGGAATCGCGCGACGCAAAACTAAATAAAAAAAAAAAACACACACACACATCTTTATCCTCTTTTTATACTTTTTGTTAAGCACATTCGCGAATAGTAGCGAACGTGTGCAAACACGTGCGCAAACACGTTGCGATCGCGATCGCCGATATAAATTCGCTCTTTTTTTTCATCATTTAACAACTCCGCACATTGGCGCTCGTTATATAGCCGCGAGTAGTACGAACGCTCTTTCGACAGCCGCGCGTCGCTTTGAAAATTGAACGGCGGCAGTGCCACACCGCGTTCGCGTCGCGGAATATTGAACGCTGTTTAACCGACGCCGATCCGAACGCCGTTCCAAGGGCGCTATTGCGAGTAATAGATAAGCTATTAACTGTTTTACGAGCCCGATGGAATATTGTCGCGCAGCTGCGACAATTCGACGAAAAAACACGAAGCGCCGAAGCTACCGCTACGTGTATCGTCTTTTGTTACTCGATCGTGTATAAAGTTTTACGCGATTGTTTCGAAACTTTAGTGTGTTTGCACACGTTCCATTTTCGTCGCTTTTGGCTTAACGCCCAGCGGCGCGCTAATATACTCTCCCTTTGCTCTTCGCGCGAACGAGGTTAACCGCTCTGTTGGCGGTATCGTCCCGGTATCGTCGCGTCGTTGCTTGCGATCGTTCGTCAAGATGTGTTTAATAATTGACGAGATCACACGCGCGACCACATTCATCGGACGTGTTACGTTTCCTCATACATTTGCGATGATACGCCCCCTTTCCGCGAACGACGTGGGGAACTTTTACGAGTGATCTCGAGAGACTAAGAAAATATATATATATATATATTAAATATGAAAGAAAACGCGAACGTGTTCGCGATAAGCGCGTGGCGCTGTGCGAAATAAGTCGTGTGAGCGCGACATGAAACAAAATTTCCGCCGCGTGAACTATAAAGCGAGAGATATGTATAACTCTTTGTATCTATTTTCGCAAGGGATGTGTTTAAAGAAGGCGTATATGAAACGTAAAACAGACGCGTTTTCCACGTTTGCGGCGAGAATATTATATCGTTTCCGAGTTTATGAAATTTTTGTTGCACAGACGCGGAGAGATCTTCGCGACTTTGGATGTGTGTGATACCATACTTGGACAATTTTATATAGCATTGTCTGCAATAAGATATCAAGATCCCTTTCTGGGATCTTCTCTCAGCTGTGCTACACGTGTTTCCTTACGTGTGTATGCATACGCGATCTTTAGAAGCGTCTCTCTCGCTTATCGAGTCGAATATTTCAGCTGAGCGTAAGGAAATATTTTACGAGAGAGAGAGACAGAGAGAGAGAAAGAGAGAGAGAGAGAGAGAGAGAGAGAGAGGAAAGTTTTTTTTATATTTAAAAATAATTTTATAATTTTAAAATGATTTGTAAATTTTATTAAATCTTTGTTGCTTATATTTTTTTCGATCGTTGTGTTATTAAAAAAAAAAAATGCTCGACGTGCAGAGTCGCATATAAATGTGTCACATACTTTTAATTTTACTTTTCTGATTACATTCTCTCTATCCGTTTCGTTCCGCTTTGCATTTCCGCTTATTAATTTTCGGCTATCTGTCTCTCCTCTCTCTCTCTCTCTCTCGGGCTCTCTCGATCTTACATAATTGCATCACATTTCCACCTGAATTTCCGACCTATTTTCAGCTACACGGAAAAGCCCGCTCTCTCTCTCTCTCTTTCTATCTTTCCGCGCGCGTTTATTAATTCTCTCCGCTCAGTTTCTACCTTCTTTCTCTGCGTGTCTCTTCTTTTATTATTTTTTTTTCGCCGCTTACGGTTCTATTGCTCACACACACACACACCAGTCTTTGTCTCTAGCGCACTCTTTCCAGTTAAAGATAATGTCTCTGGAGAAGAAAGTGTTTAAAAACTATAGCGCTTTTCATTCACAACTCGTAAATGAACTTTCTTCTTTTTTTTTATACACGTCTTAAAATATTGTACGTACATTCTTTGCAACATAAAAAAACTTTTGCTTTCGTAAACTTTGATTGGAGTCTTTTTCGAGAAAGACTCACACATCTTTCTCCGTTTTGCTTCATTTTTCAACAAAAATATCTCGATATCTTTTGATAAAAAGAATTTTTCTCTCAGAAGAAGACGAAACGTTTTGAAGCAGAAACACGTTATTTACTGCGTGTTTCGCGTTTCTTTCTCAAGAAATCGATTCTCTTTTATTCCACTTTTTTCGCATAAATAATTGCCACTTGAAAACTATGTTTTCGTCGCGTTGATTTCGGATGCGGTTTGCGTAGATAAGACGCGTTCGATAAGAAGAGCGACGCGACGGTATCAGGATTTTGATGGCAACGATTTTGATGCAACGTGCGTTATATGCACGTTTTTCCCCTCCAGATGCGGCCGCGAGTTTCGAAACATCGCGAAAGGCATTGCGGATATCAGAAATATATATTTTTGAGATATTACGTATACATATATTTCTGCCGTGTATAAAAATCTTATCTCGAAATAGACGAAGTGATTTGTCGTTACAGATGCGCCGGTAAATTTACGGTATTCAGATATATATATATAACGTCGTCTTCTACTTATATATACGTACATGTAACGATGATACATGTTACTCGTTTCGACCGACGCTAGCCGTTATTCAACACAAATCCGCAATTGTATATTGTTTACATTATATCGATTATACCGCTAACAAGCGCATATAAATGAAATGAAATATTTGTTTGATCTTCATTATATGCGCAATTTGGATTAATTAATCCAGTTTCGAGAAACTATTAACGTAAAACGGGAGAATTACAATAGAGAGGTGGATTATAATAGACAGATAAGCCGCGCAGCAGTATTTCTGCTTAATGAGGAAACCTCTATTATACGTTTCTCGTTATTAAGCCTTTGTTGTCCTTTACATTACACTCGCCCGTCGAAACTTACTTACTTAGTTCATTATCTCAACATTTCTGCGCGCGCAAACGCACGCGCAGAAATATCGTTATCGGATTTTCGGAGCTAATTAAAATGATCGTTACAATATAATGTAACGCGTCATTTTCATTTTTTTTTTTTAATTTTTTTATTGTTCAAATTGGAGAAACTAAATTATTAACGCGGTGCGCTGAACCGGCGCGCGCGCGCGCGCGCTCGCACGGTTCAGAAACTCGTTATACCGCACGTAAGTCAAGCTTAATTTGCGCATAATCTGTGTTTACTAATTCCACGCTTGGGCATTACGGCAATTTCCCGCATTTCGGCTGAGATAAGCAAATACCGCACGAGAGAAATTCGGGATTCTGCGAAATGGCGCACTTCGGGAGTTTAGCACGTGCGAAATGAAGAAATATACGGTCACAAATCACGCCGTTACCTCAGAAGATGGCAGAACAGGACGACGAACACGGTGGGGACGGAGGATGGGGGTGGAGGAAGGGGACAACGCGTAAAGATTATCGCCAGGAACTCCGATAACGTCGCAAGCGACCGACTGGCGGAGGAAATAGCGGAAGAAGTGCCGGCTGCCGGAAGCACAGCCGCGAGTTTCAAACGATAATAATTTCCTGCCAGGCATCGCGAGCGCCATTTCGAGATTTCCCATAAATTCCTTGGTCTCTGGTAGGAGAAAAAAAATAAAAAAATAAAAAAAACAAGCTGAGAAGTTATTGAACGGATGCTTAATGCGCGATGTTACAACAGATATCGTATTCTTCGACATTATTTGAGTGAACGTTTATTAAGTTAGATATTTAAAAAAAAATGCAGCGAGACACTCAAGTACATAAATTTTGTTTTCGCGTTTGTTTGACACCTATTATCAATAACATTTTTTATTTATGTGTAATTTATTGTTTCGACATCTGCGTTCAAACTCTCTCGTAGCGTTATAGCTTCAACCCGAGTCGAAATTTAGCGTCTACATTGAACCTCAATTTTTGAAAAAAGGAAATTTCGGACGTACAGCAGCGTCAAAGTAGCATCTACTTTTTTTCTTACTCCTACTTTGAGTCTATCAGAGCCTATTTTGAGCCTATCAGAGCCTGCAATGCGCAGTCTGATCTGAGAATTGAACCCTACTCTAAAACTTTAGCAGAAAAAAAAAGAAATTTCGGACGTACAGCAGCGTCAAAGTAGGATCTACTTTCTCTCTTACTCCTACATAAAAAAAAAAGAAATTGAGGTTCAATGTAGACGCTAAATTTTGACTCGGGAAAGCTTCGAGTTTTTATTTGTTTGTTATTTTTTAATTGTTGATTAAAAACAAAGCAACAAATAAAAAAAATTGTCGAACTTGTACGTAGCAAAACGTACTTAGCGGAATTTAAAGCGGAATCGAATAAAAAAAAAAAAAAAAAAAAAAAACAATCGGTGTAGCAATCTTTGAAGTGGTGTAAAGCAACGTGGAGAATTCAAGAGATTTACCTGAATTTGACAGACAACTTCGCCGTACGGCCAGCATCCGTAAACAGCCGGCAAGAAACCGAAAGGCGTAACCAGAAGCCCAATCGCCAGGTCGTTACTCGCCAAGCTCGTCAGCAGATATCTAGGCTGGAAGAAAATCGAGGATATAACCTGTTGATCTCGTTCTGGTCAGTCTGTCAATGGATGTCGCACAGCTGAATGTTAAAACTGCTGTATAAATGTCGACTCTTCGGTTTCTTCACGGACAGTCGCGAAAGAAAACGCGATCGATTGAGTTCTCTATCGGGAGACACTCATCCCGCTACGCGTTTCCGTAGGGTTTAAAACTTAATTTTTACTTGCGATATCGAGTGAATTTTATTGATTTGTCCAACACACACACACACATATAATCGAGATTGATACGCGACAAGAAACAGATCTACCAAAAACGCGGAGGATCGCGGAGATTTATTTCTAGCTCGATTCTTTGCGCAATTCTAACACTTTTTACTTCCGCCAGCAGGATTCGGAAAATTTCTCTCGAGATATCCCTTGCCCTCGCGCGAATGTAACTTTTTTTTTTTTTTTTTTTTATACGCGCACAAAGATGATTCCCCGGCGCGAGGAAGCGGAAGAGGAAAAAGTGCCGCGAGAAAATTCCGAAGAAAGTCGCGCGCAACGCGAACTTCGTTAGCGAACTGCATCTTTTTTCGCGGAAAAGATCGCATAATTCCCGATAAAACGAATTCTCAGGAATAAATAAACTCGTCCGGGATAAGCGCGTTCCTTACCCCGCGGGAAAGCGTTTCTCGGGATTAATCTACGCGCCGCAGCGTCGTCACGGGATAAGCGCACTTTGCAAATACGCGGTGCGCGGCTGTGAGAGTAACGGAGTCAGCGTCACACACTCAACTCCGCGGACGGATTTACATATTCATGAAACGGAGGGGGAGGAGGGGGATAGAATCGATGAAAGTTTAAGGAAGAAACGTATCGCACGCCGCGCTTTAATGAAAACGCACGCGGTTGTTTTTTTTTTTTTTTTTTGTTTTTGCGAGTCACACGGCGATGTTGCGTTTTTTTTTTTTTTATATTTTGCGAAGAAACTTCTGCCGGAAGTCGTAATTAACCGTCGAATAAAATGAAAGACGGACGCGCGCACACGTTCGCGTAACGTTATAATTTCGAAACTTTTTGCGCGCGGGCGTTTCTCTCGTCATTAATTTCCGCGCGTAGCGCTAATTTAGAATTCAGAAGGCACGACCGGCCCCGAATTCCGCGCGCGGCTAACCGCTTTAGAACAATTTACATAGAAAGAAGGGGGAGAGAAGAGACATCTTTCATCAGAGCGTACTACTGAAAGTGAGTTACGACAACAACTGAGAACACTCCGCTTGTAACGGTCACATACCTGACATTTTACTCTCACTGTAATCCTCCTCTCCCCTTCCTCTCCTACAAGACAAAAATAAAAAACAAATATATTAATCTTATCATCTCTCGCGCTGTGTGTTTTCTTCGCGAGAGAAACCGTACCTACGGTTTTGTTTGAGTTTTTTTTTTGCGTAACGAAGAGAACTCAGTTACGTTGTTGCGCCTGTGACATAATTCTTCTCGGTGAGACTCGAGAAAAAAAAATGCTTCTCTTCGTGTGCGATTTTGTTTTTCGACACATTTTACTTAATTGTTTTTTATTTCGTACATTTCGCGGAAGATTGTTGTTGTGCAGAGAAAGGATAATCTCGTGGGCGGATAAGCATCCGCCCTCCTCGATCAATTTCTTACGAGTTTACTCACCTGAGCGTGTATGTACTTGCTGTACCGTCTGCTGTTGATAACGCATATCACGAGAAGATTGGCGGCCAAGATACCGACGCTGAGCAGCAGGATCAAGGTGGCTCGTATCAGTTCGCCGGGACCCGGACCTGTCCAAGCGGCCTCGGACGTGCCGCCTCGCCAGCAACTGCTGTTGCTCAGCGACGGTGCAAGCAGAATCGTTTGTTTGTTCTCCATTGTCATCGGTGGTAGGTGGCCAGCTGCTGTCCCACGTGACTACGGTGCTGAATCTGATCGGGCGGAGCACACCGTGTCTCGCGCGAGACGCTTCGCAAGTTCCTAAGTGACCTTTTCGAGTCGAACACAATCTTGTATTAAAATTCTTATTTCTCTTAGTTTTTGTTTTTGTTTTTGTTTTTTTACGCGATGATGTAACGTCTGTTTATTTATTATTTTTATAAAAACTGTTCCGCATAATCATTTGCGGTCAATTAACGAAACGTCCGTGCGTTAGACAGCAACGTTATCGGATTTTACGAATTCCGTGAAATTTGTTAAAAGTTGTTTTTGTACACTGAGAAAAAAAAGTTGGTGAAGTAACAAAAAAATAGTATTCGATTCAGCTATATGCAGCGGTCACGGGCTGTCAATAAAAATATTGATTAATATAAGAAGATATCATGTTTCAACAGATATAATAATTAGATTTATACCGAAAGACAATTTAGTTGTTTTAACGAAATTATAATTTGCTTAGATACAAGTAACTTTGAATGCACAACGCAATAGAACAACACAATATTTTGTCTGCTTATAAAAATAAGCAGTTTGATTAAATAAAATACATTAGTACAAAGAAATTCAGATTATATTCAATTAAAGTAAATGAGAATTGCCTATTTCATCATTTTTAACAGTATCTTTTGTTTGAAATTATCACAACTTATGTTCGACAAAACAATTCATGGTTCAGTGAATTAAATATGTTCATTACCACTATTGTTAATTCAACTTATACGAATTTGTTATCTTTATTACCATATGCTTGAATTAAAAAAACCAAGTATTTCAGATAACAAACTGAAACTCTAACTAAACGCATTTAATTGAGTTAATAGTATTTTTTTCTCAGTGTACTGCGTATTGATCGTAAGAAAGAGAGAGTGGGGATTATTAGTTTTAGAGTACATATATATATAAATACGTATTTTTTTTTCCCCCTCTCAACGAGGAGAAGCTAACGATTCGAGTTTGAAAACGCGGAAATACTTGACGATTAAATATTGCGACGAACCTCTCATCCCTGTCGACGACGAGTTTTCGAGGAGGGCCCGCCTCGCTGATGACCGAGCAGCTTTTTTAAACACTGCTTCTTCATCGCCGAGAGCATGGGGAATCCCGCGCGAGAGCACGTTTGAGCGCGTCGTCTGAAGCGCGACGCACTCGAAGAGTCAACCGTGGTGACTCACACGAATCGTCGTCGACGCGCATCTGCAAAAACGGCGCACCTCACCTTCGATCTCTGACGATGCGCTCTCTCTCGACTCCCCGATGCTTCATCGCAGTCCGCACGCAGCCCGTGTGTCTACACACGGTCGAGTTGACGAGCACTGGGGGGGAAGGAAAAAAAGAGTAAAAAAACATAGAGAGAGTAGAGCGGGTAAAAATAATGTATACGAAAAATTCCGCAGTTTTCCTGGAAAATTTGCGCTCGACTAAGCGAAATTTACGAAGTCCAACTGCGAGTGGAGGAGGAAAAAGTTTGACTTGGCGCGCTGCGTTTGCAAGCTGTCGTGCTTGTCTTGCAGTCTACTCTTCCACGCAAAATTTATGACAAGACAAGATGAAACTTGGTCGTTATTTTATGCATACAAGCTGATAAATTTCTCGCCCGTAAGTAAATCTCAAGGGAGGAAAGTTTGACGGAGAGAGAGAGAGAGAGGAAAGGTGGCATTAAAATCAATGCTCTCCCGCGCCCGCGTTAACGTAGTCATTCGGTGAATTAGGATCCGTAGAAAGTGTAAAAAAACAAAAACAAAAACAAAAAAAACGGTAACTTATATACAAAGCGGTCGTTCTCACCGATTTCAATGATCTCGAAGTATGTTGTTAAGAACGTCATTCCGAACAACTTTTCTCTTCACGTGTTACCGCCGCTCGGTTCTAAGTCTTCGAGTTATACGCTCTAAAGAAAGTTTTTCATAAATAAATTTTTGTTTTCGAACACCGCGTGTCGATTTAAGAAATGGAGCGAACACACGTATCGCGTTGCGTTTTGGGCGCTTGAAAATCCAATAAAATTTCCGAGCTGGACAATGACATTCTATGAGTGGCTCGTCGATTTGACGAGAGAGTTGACGATCCGATTCCGCGACGCGCGCCGTTACCTGTATCCCATCCTATCCTATCGCACAGGTATCCACAGCGCGCGCTCGTATGTTTTACGAGTTTCGCCAAGTTTTTATTTGCTCTTCTCCTAGCAATATTTTCAACAATCAAGCGTGCCGGCGCATCCTGCCGCGATTCCGGGGAATTTTATTTGTACCGCGTAAACGCGAACGGAGCCGCTGGTCCGCGAAGCCGACGTTGATCGATTGCGCCGTCGCCGCCGCCTCTACCGCCGCCGCCACCGCCGCCGCCGTCCATTCCGTTTCGCGCGGGGTTGAGTCGATGATGCGTTACACTACACCGGAGCCGAATAGATCCCGGCGAATTCATATACGGATTACGCACGCTCTTCCGTAATAAGCCCTTTCGCTCCGCGAATAATTAATTATGAACCTTCCACTTCGCCGGTCGCGTTCTCGCGTTTGCGATACACGACATCCGTCGTCGCAATTAAAAATTTCAAAGAATCTGTTTGCGTGCCGTGTATACGCGGAACGACGAAAATGAAAAAAATTAATTGAATATCCCGACGATGAACAACGTTTAGGAAAACGTTTTTCTCTTCCGCGGACTTTCCGTTCGTAAGCGCGAGAGCTCTCGCGCCAATTTAATACCGCACAGGTCTGATTTCCAGATGATAATTAATGCAATGGGCCTCTCTCTTGCGCGCAAAAACAGATATGTATATATATTGCAAATTAAACGCAACGTCAAGCCGGCTGTCGAAATAAAACTAAAAAGCAAAAAAAAAAAAAAGAAAAAAAAATCATTACTCAAAATCACGGCTCGATTTTCCAGCAATCGTTTATTGAATAACGTTAACAATAAGCGGTTGATTTTACATCGCGTCAATTGTTCCGAGAAATTGCTACACTCCGAGCAAAACGTTAATTAATTTGCACATGTGGTATAAATCGCGTTAAAAACCAATTTAACGCGAATTAAGATATTAAATGTCACACACCAATTTTTTTAGAATTACAACATTATTCAGTTTCACACAGAAAAACGAAACGAAGTGATAAGTAAGAACTTACAACGTTTCGGAAGAGAATATCCGTTTTTCTCTCTCTCTCTGGTCGTAATCGTATAATTTCCGTGTAGCCAAATTTGTTAAAGCACGTACATTTTCTCAGTTTGTGATTCCAGCCGCATAACTTGCGGCACGGTTTCTGCTTCGAAACAAAGCCTCCGTATAGTTGGGCAGGAGGGACGACGGTAGTTCATGTATGCGGAGATAATTTCCATTAAACCAAGCGCTTTGTGTTGGACATCAGAGAACACACGAGATTATATATATATATATATATATACGCGCACTCTCGAAAATACGTAAAAGTGCAAAACTTTGTACAGAAAATGTGTGTGTGTGTGTGCTCACGCGTATATACTTATATATGCGCGTGCGTGTAATATTGCCTACGCAATATTATTCGCGGAGATAGTTTTAAACCAAATTGTTTGCGAACAGAAAAATAAAAAAAAATTCTCGGTTTCCGCGAGTGCAAAAATATTACAGTTTTAAATATTACTTATGTATACCTCTCTCTCTCTCTCTCTCTCTCTCTCTCTCTCTCTCTCTCTCTCTTTCTCTCTCTCTGCACGCTGATATGCGTGTGCGCGCAAACAAACATTTATAGGAGAAATACGAATGCTCGCCGCAGCACGTTCGAATAATACGGTTTTTCGAGCGTGGCGGATGTACGAGACCGGTTTGTTGGCGAAGACATCCCCTGAAAATGAAAATTCGAAAAGTGCGAAATTGAATAACGCCGGGCAAGCTCTCGCGGCGCTTTATTGTTCGCCGCCGCACGGCTCGACTCGCGATCGCGGCACGTATTTTCGCGCGCTCATTATCTATTTACGAATACACTTCGTTATGTATAAATCACACACCGAGGGTTAACAACGTATCGATTTTCGAAGAATCGCGACCAAATAATAATAAGACAAAATATATCAGAGTCTCTCTTTTGAATATATCCGTGCCGTTAATGTCGCGCGACGAGTCGACGGCTCGCGAAAAATGAGATGGTTAACTTAACGAGCGCGGGATTTTCGTTATAATTAAAAAAAATGCGAGAGAAAAAAGAGAGAGAGAGAGAGAGAGAGAGAGAGAGAGAAAGAGAGAAAGAGAAGATGAAGAGCGCGCATCGACACTCTTTCTCGGCTCAGAGCCGGAAATTCCTTTCTTTCATCCCGCGTCTTCGGCGCGCGGGAGGATATTATCCTTCTTTTCAATAATGATTCGACAAACACCGGCGCGCGTTTAGAACCGAACTCTATTCACGTACGTTATTCACACCTATTATTCGCGCTGCCGCGCTTTTGAGCCTCCGCTATTCGATTTGCATATGCCGAAGCGGGGGGGGGGGGGGAACGCGGCAGATGCGCGTGTGACTTTCCGCACACAAAGCTTCTGACAATCTCTCATAACTGTTTACTTCGGTTCGTCACAGCGTGTCTATCTACAAGCTATATTAACTCGGATTTTAAAAATAATAATTTCACTTGTCATTGAAGTATTTTAACACTATGAAATCAACACACTCTTTGGGGTTCTTTTATATTCACCGAAAAAATTATATTCTTGTAAGTAGAAGATTTTATACTTAAAAAATCTACTTAAAGATTTTAGATGATATTCTTCTGAAATTAAGAATATATTCTTTATTTAAGAATATAGTCTTTTTCGATAGTGAGATATATATATGTTTTTCTATAGAGGCTTTTTATATTCTAATCAGTATATATTCTTATCAATATTACTATTTAGAGGATTTTCCTCTTAAAATAAGAAATTCTTCTTGGCGCCTATTCTAGTATAAAATATACTTAAAGTAAGTGGGATATCCTCAAAACAAGAATACCATTTTTTCGGTGTTCGCAAAGTGTCAGTGTCAGAATTGCAAAAGAGAGAGAGAAAGAGAGAAAGAATCAAGCGCGTTCAAAAATTTCTAAGTGATCGAAGTCGCTTTATGAACCGCCCGAGTCTTCTGTTTTGCATTTTTGTTCAAAGGAACTCTCGTTAGGTATTGTTAGGTTAGCGCACTGCCAGAGAGTATTGCCATTCATCGGTCTGTCGGATGTGGGCTTCTGTTCTTTGCAATCCCGCGTATTATTAAAACTAACTTGTTTATCGCTTAAAAAAAAAAAAAGAAAAAAGCGCCTTTACACGGCCTTCGATTTCATTTAGCTCGTTGCGACCGATCGATAAATAATGTTGACTTGCCGGCTTTCTCGTTTTCACGCTCGGATGGGAAGGTGAATGGAACGGAAACAGTCCCCGCGACTCCTCCCACGTGTACATATATATATATATATATATATATATATATATATATATATATATATATACTCGCGTATTCACACGTATGAACACCGGAACGACGCCGGGGCTCTCTTGCATTTTCCATGAGCAGATTTTGTGCGCGATCGATACGATCTCATACTTTACGCACACGTGCTCGCGATTGGCGGACAAAAGGCGAGCAGCTTCGTTTCCTGCAATTACGCGGTGTTTGCGAAACGAACATTGCGTCGTCGCTTCATTAAAACAACACGCGCGGCCGAAATTTCTCTCCGCATCTCTCCGCGATTTTAAAAAACGGGATATCCTGCTTGAATGCGCGACGAAAGAGAACTATTTTTCTCTTTAATTTCCTCCCGGATGTGTCAACCCCGGGCACAATATTCCCATTATTTCGATGTGACGATAATTTATGCCGATAATTGCGAAAACGGGAGGGAAGTCCGCGCCGAAGTGACAGAGTCGCGCGCAACGGCGCGACAAATTTTAATGACTCGCGCGCGGGACGATATCGTGCGTCACGTTGTAATCGTAAATTTTCAGAAACGCGCGCGCGGAACTCTGAACAAGTATAATGTCCAAATCATCAGAATCATTCTTCTTTTCCTCTTTTCCCGCAACTGCAAATACGAGTCGTTAAACCGATTATTTATTATTGTAGCCGGTAAACTGTAGCGAAAATTTCTGGCACCGCTATTTTTCCACGTTTATTTATTACATATGGCCCGTCGGGTGTGTTTTCTTTAAACCAGCCTTTAATCCCGGAGATTTTTTTGATATTTGCGTGTTGACAGTTATAAATCAGAATGACTAACGCGAATATTAAGCATTCCCGGTGTGCGATAAACTGACCGCGGACAGAGGGAGAGAGAGAGAGAGAGAGAGAGAGAGAGAGAGAGAGAGAGACAGAAT